CTTTACCCACCATACCACAGGGCTACTGGGCCCTCTTGGTTTGTTTTAATCTTGCGTGGGTCAAAAGGCATGCCTTTCCCACTCAGTGCTCTGTGATGCTCTGTGTTTTGATAAATAAGGTTTACACCTTAGAATTTCTGTTCTTAAAAGCGAGTTTTCTGATAATTCATGTTTGCGGTGAGGCCGGAACTCTCTTGGCCCTCATCTGTATTCAGATATTTCTCTTGCAATGATGTTGACATTTCACATCATTGTCCTCAAATTCACTATCTCCCTTCTCACAGCTGTACCCTGTCAAGCCACTCCAAGCTCAGTATTTGTACCTCCGTAAAACATTCCGGGGCAGCAGCCCGAGTTGGTTATTAGCAGTTCCATCACACAGTCACCAGCTTGGCATTTACTCATGTCACCTGATGACAAATAATCCTGGGCTTGGCTGGTGATGCCTCATCCTCCCCTTCTGTGATTTGTGACTTCCTAGAACCACGTCTCTTCCTAGAATCATTTTAGAGGAAGTCACTAAACCACCAACGGTGCCAGGGGTTCTTCTCTTCTCTTGATCCTCTCTTTGTAAAACTTTTATTCAGTTATTTCAAAGGCAGAGTGTTTGGAGAAGGGAAAATAGAAATATAGATAGATAGATAGATAGAGAGAGAGAGAGAGAGAGAGAGAGAATCTTCCACCTGCTGGTTTACTTCCCAAATAATTACATGCAATAGCCAGGGCTGGGCCAAGCAAAGCCGGGTTCCAGAAACTCTGTCCTGGTCTCCTGAGTGGGTCACAGGAGCCCGAGTACTTGTGCTATCACTTGCTGCCTCCCAGGGTGCACACTGGCAGGGCGCTGGATCCTAAGCATAGCCAGGACTTAAACTGGTGCTCCAAGATGGGATGCAGGTGCTCCAGGCAACGGCTTCTTTCCTGCACTACTGTGCCTGCCCCTCGAAGTCTTTCCTTCATGACTGACTCTACCTAGAATCTTCTCTCTTAGTTGCCAACCAGTAAGTAGCCACATCTGCCCTGGTTCCTTCTAAGGTCCTGCTGCAGGACTCTCTGGAACTCAGGCTCAACTTGTCTTGGTACCAGGGGCACTTGCTCAAGTCAGTGCTCCTTGGGCTCCACCCTGTGCCAGGCACGACATCTCCATGCTGAGCATGGAGGTCGGGGGTGAATAAGACAGAGCCAGCTCACAGTCTTGTGGGAAACACAGACAAGTCAGTTGGAGGCTTGAGGCCAGAGTAATGCAGGAGTCACAGCTCAGTGGCTGGGGATCCAGGAGTGGGTGGGAGCAGACACAGCTTCTGATCTATATCTAGTGGACAAACAGGCAGAGAGTGTGTGTGTCTTAGATAGAGAACAGTGAGAGCAAAGCCAGGGAGGCTCAATTGGTGATGTGGTGGAGGGCAGGATCTGGGATTGTTGGATAAGCCAAGGGCTTTGGATTTCATCCCAGGGGTGAAGCAGCATTAGGGAGTTTTCAGTTTGTGACAGTGAAGGCCCATGGCAATAGCCCTGGCTGGAAGGATGAGGGCCTGGCTGAGGGCTCCCTCTCTCAACACTGGCCCTCCGCTCACACTTTCATCTCTACAGTAAGTGCTCCACATGCATATCTCCCTTAACTGTTACAAGAACCTGAGAGTGAGTGATGCTCAGATCCAGCTGACAGCCTCGAAGAGGTCAAACAGGTACCCAGGCTCACCTGTACCCAGAAAGAGCAGAATCAGGATGTGACCCCAGCCTGGGCACTGAGCCTCTGTCTTCTCACACTGATGCCAGGGCATTGCAGTGACATACTGACCAGCTGGCAGTGTCTTAGGGGCAGGGGACAGCCCAGCATGGCACTGCCCAATAGAAGGAGAATGCAAGTCACCAATATGAGCCCTATAGGTCATTGTAGATATTCTGGTGGCACATTTACAAAGTAAACGAAAACAAATTCCAATGTCATCATTCTAACGTGAAATTAACACAAATATTATTGGGCTATTTTGGGGAAACCTTTGAAATCTGCTATGTATCTGAACTTCACAGGTTGTGTCAGTTTGGACTAGCCACGGGTCAAGACAAGCCACGGGGTGACCCCAAGCTGAAATGTTTGTTTGATAATTGGGGAGCAGTTTTTGGCCAGCGATCACACATGCAGGTGTGAATCTATGCCAGGAAGTCGTGGGAGAGGCATGGATCTGGGAGCTGTTCTGAGAGAGACGGTCGTGAAGGCCCCGAGTGAGATGTCGGAGCTCACCCAGAGGGAAGGTGCAGGAAGATGGACCTTTGGAACCGCGGGGAAGGGCGGGGAGTCTTACTCAAGGGGAACAGGGGCCAGGTGGGGGTAGGGATCTCCTCTTGGGATGGAAGGGAAGGAGCAAGGTGGGTGCGGATGCAGGCAGAGGGTCTGGGAGACAACAGGAAGTGGGGGCCTCTCATATAATGTTGGTAGGGCGTCTCTCAGCTTGTCTCTTTTCCTGTGTTTTCTTTCATAGCAAAGGAAACCCTTGCTTTTTATCCCCACCTGCTCCCAGGAGCTATAGGTGAAAAGAGAGGAAAGAGTACACAAAAGATAAATGTTTGTCCATCCAGGGACTAAAAATAAATGAAGATATTTCCTCCTAATTACCACTCCCATCTCTCTCTCAATTATTGAAACACCTGCAGACCCACAGGAAGTCCCCCTCTTTGTCTGCCTTCCCTCAATGGTGACCTCTTAGGTCCTCATTCGTTAGATATGAACCAGAAACCAACATGGGCACATACCCATTAACCAGGCTCCCCTCCAATCTGCTAGCTACAACCTCCCAGCAGAAAGTAACAAAGAAGAAGAATGGCAGACACAACATCCAACTAGGTCCAACTAGGTCAATAACCATTGTGTAGAGCAGTATTGTGGTTAAGTTGCTATCTGCGATGCCAGAATCCTGTGTGAACACTGGCTTCATTCCTACTTGTTCCTCTTCTAATCCAGCTCCCCAGCTCCTCACTGCTGTGCCTAGAAAAGCAGCAGCTGATGATCCAGGTGTTTAGGCCCTGCCACTCACCTGGGAGACCTGCAAGGAGTTTTGGGTTCCTGGTTTGGGCCTGGACCAACCTTGGCTGTTACAGCCAGGAACAGAAGATTCTCTCCCTTTCCCTCCCTCCTTGCTTGTCAGATAAATAAGTCTTTTTAAAAAAAGACCTTTGTGTTCAAGAAGTTCTGTCCCTGGAACCACATGACATATATCACACAATGCCATCTACACGCTGAGGCCCCAAGCACCCTCTTGGGATCACGTGTAATTTGCACCAACACTCCACACTTTCACTTGCTTGTTCTCTCACTATGGAGAACAGCCAAGATGAACTGCTGATGTCTCACAGCACCCAGCAGGAGGAAGATGTGGCCTGGAAGATGAGGGCCTGGGGCCCATGATTGGTCTACTGTACAGCTTGAGTCGCTGACCTCAGAACCCAAGGCTAGGTGGTGACTGACACGATCTTTCAGCGGGTGGCTGTCTCATGCCCCTGTTCACATAGCACAGAACCAGAGGGTCAGGAGCAGGAATTCAGGTGTGTCTCCAAGCAGCTTTCCAGTGGACAGGCGTTTGGGGCAAGTCAGTGGGCCCTGCAAATTCACTTACATAGCAAGCTGACCCAGAAAGTCAGGCACATCCCTCAAAAGCAGAATCAGACAAAGGAAGAATCAAGAAATCTCTTTGCTTCCAGGAAACAAAGCCAGCAAGAGAATTTTGGGCCAACTCGGAGGGGACAGCGGCTGTCCAGCCACCAAGGTTCGGCCGAGGCAAGTACACCGTTTCTTAGGAGAGACTGGAGCACTTGCCTAAACTGTCATTGTAGGCGGTAATTTGCTAATGGGTAGCTATGGAATGGCTTTCTTTCTTCCTTGGGGATAAATGAGCTCTGGTTCTCGAAAGACAATGCATCTGGCAGGAGGTCAGAAGAAAGAGCGAGAAAAAATGAAGCATTTTGCCCTTGGATCTGGAAAGCAATGGAAATGTATATTTCTGGCAGCTGGGTGGAAAGAGTTTGGCTTTGATGGTTTCTGAGAGACCAGAGGAGGAGACCCTGGGCAGGAAAAGGCTGGAGGAGGAGGAGAGTCAGAGGTCAGATGCCCTTGGGAAGAGGTACCTCCAAGTGCCACCCAGGGAAGCCAGGCCATAGAGCAACCTGCAGCGAGTGAAGGTGGGTGGGCGGCAGTGCAGTGGGAAGGGGTGGCAGGCGGGGGCCTCAGCCCACAGGTGGAGAAACAGCACAGAAACCAACTTAGCTCCATAAATGGTCATTAACACATCATCCTAGAGACTCAGAGAAGAAGGCAGGCCCCTGGGGTTTTGCCCTTGCCCTCCGGGACAGTTGCATCCCCCAGTCATCCATCCGGGCACAGACAGATGTAGCTTTTCTCCCCTTCGTGCAGATAAACAGATCCTGCTCTCCATGAGACAACAGGAAGGCCACCAGATGTGCCTCTTCTCCCAGCTGTTTAAACCCAAGAGATGCTCCCCGCGTGTAGCCCATTGGGGACTATTTTTACTTGAGGCTTTCAGCTTCAGCTCAGGTTCTCCCACAAGCATTCTCCCTGCAACCCCCCGCCCCTCACCGATCCACAGTGAAATGAACCCACGGGAGACCGGGCAGCTCCGCACCAGGGCGCTGGCCCTGTCACGCAGCCTTCCCCGCCATCACTTTGAATCGAGCAGAAGCTAAGTGGGGGCAGCGTGGCCAACGGGTAAAATGAAAATGCAATCTATGCAGCATCTGCTTTCTCTTCCCCTTTCAGCTTTCGCAGACACAAACATGAAAAAAAGGAAAAATAAGGAGAGACAGGGCCCCTTCTGGAACAACAGCATTTGAATTCCGAATCCTCTACCATGCAAGCTGGTGACTGCTTGTACTGCATACCAGGTGCCCCACCGGGTGAGATCCAAGCAAAGAGGGACAAGGGGGCCTGTGTCTACCTTGCCGTTTCTGCCTCCCTCCCCCATCCCAAGCACGATCAATATATTTATACTCACTGGATGATGTCAGCCAGACAATGCTCCCCTAATTGAGAATAATCAGGTTCCGCAATTGCTTCGGCAAACCTGCCGACTCTGTCAGGCAGAGCGATCGGGGGCCTGCTAATGCCGTCCCCAAGAACAATTTCCAGTGCATTCCAGAACAGTTCTCTGACTCATGTATGGCAATGGATTTTCCAAACAGCTCCTAAGAGCTAGCCCTTGAGGAAGTCAGAGCCACAGCCTAGAATGCTTTTCTAAACCTTCCCACCCTCAGCTGGAGTGCAAGGGGAGGGAAAAACCCACAGCCACTTCCTTCAGCCTAAGGCTCATATGTTCTTTTGCAATGTTTTTCTTTTTCCTTCTTTTTTTTTATTTCTTTTATTGGGGTTGTGGTGCTAACTGTCATTTTTGGTTCTTGGTTCTTTGATAATTTCAGGACATCTGGCACGCAGCTCACTGTGGTTGCTAGCTCTGGTATTTGTAGATATGCACGTCCTCTCTACGGCGTGTGCATGTTAACACGCCACATGCATAATTTACTCAAGCATAATTTGGCACTGGCGTGCACAGGTTTATTTTGACATTTAAGTGTAACTGCACAGTGTCGATCGTAAGCACTCGCTTGATAAATATTTGCGACAAACAAACGAATGCATCAAGAAGACAAACAGGCAACTGGCACTCTTTCATTTGTCTGACGACTGAAGGCCTAATCTGAACTAGGCAGTGCCTTCACAGCTGGGAACTCGATGAAGCCAACCTGCAGGACTTCAAGGAGCCCAGAGCTGAGGAATGAGAGGCATATGAATAAACAGGCAGTGATAAGGTAGGGGGAAGTCACTGCTGAAGCCCTGGCAGTCTTCCAAGGCAGGGAGCCCTTACACCACTCCAGGGGGTAGGGTGGTGCGCTCAGGTAAGGCCTGAGCTGGGTGGGGGAGAGGACTGAAGGACCCCAGAAAAAGAGGTCAGCACAATGCATGGTGCAGTGCAAGAAACACTGGGGTATCTGGGAAAAGTGGGGATGTGGCAGAGCTCAGGGAGGGATAGTGGAGAGCATAAAAACCATTTCACTTTTGCACTTACTTCTGATATTGCCAGAGTTTGTACCCACCCTTTACAGCTGAACTAGGCCTGGCTCTGGGTACAGTGAGGAGCCATGAGGAACCCCACCAGCTGGGCAGCCTCTGCCGCCTGGATCCTCCAGTGGGTGGTCCAGTGGGTCTGCGTGGGTGTTCCCATCTGTGGCTTCCTACTAACATCCAACTCAAGTTCAAGTTCATCTCCTTTAGGATTGTTGTCTGGTGGCCAGTCCTCTGATCCACCCCAAGGGGCAACTGGGGTCGAGGTCACTCATTAGTACCTGTTCATTTCATCTTACACTTTGTGCTTTTCTTTAGTCAACATGCCAGTCCCAGAGGATAGAACCCAAGTCTCACTTCTCTTTGACATCTGTGGACCTATCACAGTGTCACCCAAGATAAGCTAGGAAGGCCTGTCCAAAAACTGCTGGAAAAAATGGAATTAAAAGAGAAGCATACTTGTATGCTAAAAATTTTGAAATCCGTGAGAAGTTTCTCAAACACATACATCATTCCCACGCAATTTTAGGAGACCCCCTTGTCTGCACAGATCTTACATTGCTTTTTGCACCAAAATCGACTTGTCGTTGAATTCCACTTTCCATGAACTTTCTTTGCTACACTTGTATTTGCTGATCACATTGCCACTGCTCTGAGGCTACTGAGTAAAAAACACTACTTTCTAAAATGTGTTTCTTGGGATTTCACAGATCACAAGGAACACGTGTACAATGCCACCAGAAGGAAGAATCCCTCTGCTAAATGTAAAGGGAGAAAGGCTGAACACTCAAGTGGCACGTGGGGATGGTTCCGTATCACGTGGCTGGAGACCAGCACGGGCGAGTGATTTAATTTCTACCCCTCCACGTTAAGACTTTGTTGTTCATGTGCCAGGGAGCCGCAACTGGGACCTTTTTTTTTTTTTCACAAAAGAGGAACTGGCAGGAAATCAAAAAGGAAAAATCACCCTTTCCTTGCAAATCCAATGGCATTTAAGGAAGTTGAGCTCTGCCAAGAGGTACAACTGCACAGTACGGGTAACAGGGCAATTCAAGCTGCCGTCCACACTGGCAACCATGACTGTCCCAGAAGTGGGGCTGCAGGGAGAGAACAATCGCCTGGGAACTTGAGTTCTATTCTTGCCAATGGGGCCTTTCAGTGCAGAAGCTGCTCTGAGCCCAGACCGGCTGGTTTCCTTTCTTTCCTCTTTAGGAAAATGACTGTTTTTCACCCACATGTGAATCCATCTATTTTCTCAACAAACATTTACGGAGCACCTCTCAGGCAGCCTGTGTGCTGATGTGTGCTGGCAATGCAAATGAGGGCAGAAGAGACAAAGCCCTGACCTTGTGGAGGGGGGTGTGTGTGCGCGCGCGCGTGCAGGGGGAACAAGAGGGTGTGGAGGGAAGGGAGGGCAGGTGGCACCAGCAGCTGAAGTAGTGCTGACCTCTTAATGCATGTGAGAACTGAATTGCTAGAACATTAATCAAGACTTCTAGGTGCACAGCTTCTTAGCATACATGTCACACATGCTAGTGCGTATTTCTAAAAGAATCACGGGTGATAAAGACGCAGACGGCTCATGGTACCAGGTGAACCCACTCCCTTTTCTGTCAACCCTGCCTGTGTGAGCCGAGCATCTCTCCAGGACTCCTGCAGCCCACTTCTCCCTGACGCTAGGCTCACCCAGCTCGTCCCCCACGCTTTATTGCATCTACAGTGACTTGGATAAATCAGACATCAGCCGGTGCCAGGCCACTGCTTCCACACCTCCCCCAGCCCTTCACCGCTGCAGGCTGCCTGGCCTGACCATGGCTGACCTGAGCCTCTTTTTATCATTGCTCCCTTCCCAGTCCCTGGCCCTGATCCTGCCACCAACGCTCAAGGTCACCCGCAGTTACAGCAACCCAACAACCCAACAAACTGTCCCCGGGTGTTTTTTTTTCTCGCTGAACGATTTCCTTCACTTTCACCTCAATTCTTTGCCATTCCTACACACAGCTCGAATGTCACCTTTTCTGTAAAAGCTCTCTGTTAGCATAATCCTGCGTGCCTTCCACCAAGCGTACGGTGGCTTCACCGCCTTGCGGGACGTGTCGTCCCTAAGCGTAGGCACCTGTGTTGATCTGGTCACAGCTGTGTCTTCCCATCTAAGCCGTAAACTTCTCTGAGCAGGAAGGATCTTGTTTGTATCTAGACTACAGCACAGTGCCTGGTACACACTAGGCCCTCCATAAACACTGCAGGAACATCTGGCTCAGGCTGATGGATGCATCTGATAATTCCTGTGAAAGCAATGGCCAGCATGGTACAGATGTCAGCTTGGCTCTTGAGTACCACGGGTTTTAAACATTTGAACTGATGTTTTAAACATCCACATTCATGAGCCACAGATGCGCAGGGACTGCAGGGCCGCTTCTTCCTCAACATTGTTTCCGTGTGTACTCTATCTGGAGATGGTTGAGAAGTTCAAATAAATGATTAAAGCATGTAAAACAGAACCATTAAGGAATCAGGATCATTGGCTGCAGAAGAGAAGCTTGAAGAGACTTCATAATGGCTCTTAATGAGAGGAGAGATTGCACTCCAAGGACGACGCGGCTAAACATCCTCCTCCTCCGAGGACACCAAAGAGGGAGAAATGAGATTAAAGCCAAAAATAAAACAGAGCTCACTGCTCTCGCAGCAGGGCCCAAGGAACCATCTCCAGCCACCATCACAGGTGGCTACCATGGGCCGAGGGCTTCCTTGGAACGCAGTGCATGCTGTTCTAAGTGCTCCCACATGTTGTCAGCTCCCCAGGAGACACATGTGGGCTCCTTTTATTATTCCCATTCACAGGTGAGGAAATAGACGCTGGCTAAGTGGCTTGCACGGGTCCCACAACTGTTAAGCATTAGAAAATGGATGGAGGTCCAACGCGAAGCTTGGAGAAAACTCAACACATTTACAAGGCCCACTGCAATTTTCAACAAGAAAATCCTGGATATCCTGTCTTCATCGCCAGGGCAACTAGCTCTCCTGTGGTCTTCTGGCAACCCCGAGTGTGTGTGTGTAGTTCAAGCAGCCAGTTTTTTGTTGTTTTGTTTTGTTTGCTTCTGGTTCTGGCAAGCTGGCACACGAGGCCTCGTTTTCCTAATGAACCCGTCCATCGCTTCGCCGTGTTGTGTTGTGAGTAGCGTCAGAGCATGCCTGGCTTCAGCATCCTCAGATGTGCACGTACTCATCCGACCCGACATAAATCGAGTCCTGTTTGGATATTAGGATGCACCCTCCGGAGCGCAGGAACGAGCCCCCAGGGGCTCCAGTGCCAGCATCTTGCTCCCTATTATTTTTTTTTCCAAGGCAGCCTTATTTAGCCTGCCCCAAGGGGAAACACACGGTGGGGTCGCTGTCAACACAGAGCAGGCACAGCCTGGCGGAAAGAAAGTCAACCCGTATCTGTTCACTGGGAGCCCGCGCTGCAGAGGGGCTACGCACTGCAGAGGGGCTATGGGAGGCCTGGGCTGGTTTGCAGAAGCAGGCAGCCCCAAAGGAGCCTGTGAGAAGGGTGTGAATGAGTCACTAGACTTTTCAGGTTGACTGAGATGAGTTCTGCTGATTTTCTTAGAATTGAGATGTGTTATCAGTGTTCACACATTGGCTGTCACGGGAAGAGGATGAGTGATCATTTTCCTGATAGTGCCTGGACTTGGGCAGGGTCATGATATGATCTGGGGAAAGACATGACTTTGCAGGAGCCGGCCGGGCAGCACCTGTGTGCTGGTGTGTGCTGGAGAGGACATACCTGTGACAGGTGCAGGGGCTTTCTGTCATGAGAGTCAGGTCAGCCTGGGTGGAGTCCTAGCTCTCAGGGTATTAGAAGGTACTTGGAATGCATGGCTTGCAAAAAGCATCTGCTTTTTAGTATCAGGTCCCCCACAACTGATGCCTTAGTTAACTAATAGTTTGGGTTCTAGGAATTCACGCAATCTCCTGTGGCCTCAATTGCTTCATCTTGAAGATGGATACCACCAGGGCACTTATACTTTCAGATCAGATTAAGTAGATGCACTCGCATCAATGGCTGAAGTACAGCCAGTTTCAAACTTGGGTTTCTCTGAATGCACACATTTTCTATTGATACAATTACAAACCTGCCAGAGGACCTGTTCAAGTGTTTGCTCAGAACAGGAGCTTGGTCAGCATTTCTTAAGTGTAGAGGGAACTAAAAGAATGGATTTAGAGGAATCTAGGCATGGCTACCTGCTCTGACTGCGTCGTAACTTATACTCCCGGACAAACTGGAAAATTGGACATTCTCCTTAATCCTTTTAGGGTAGTACCTCACAAAAGGGGCATGTTCTGGAACCAGACATCCCCGCAGACTAGAAGACACGGGAGGGGACGGTTTCGCATGAGATTTCCAGAAGAATGGCAGAAGGATTGAGTTGCAGACTGTCACACCTGAAGGACAGGTGGCAGGGAGCAGGGCTCTCAAGAGAGCAAAAGCCTTCCATCACCAGAAACTGAGAATATGTGTTGCTTACCTTGTCTACAAAAAAAATACAGAATACAGTCAAGCCTGGTTTGTAATCCCCTACTAGTATTACTTGTTCTACTAGTGACAACTTGAAATGAATTCTTTAATTTGAAATGAAATATATAATGCCTTAGGAGCTGGTACAGAATGATAGAACCTTAATATTTCAGTGAATCATACAAAATTGCCACTTTTGGGATAAAAAAAACTGGTCAAGCATGATCCATTTCCTATAGCTCAATCTAATCTATTTAATGTAAGAAATGTTAAATAAAACATTCTTTGTCTTTTAACTATGGCCATAAGACCATATTGGCCAGTTTTATTTATTCCAGGCCTTTTTGCCTTCTAGAATTTGTGCACAGGAGGTGTTAAATAAATGCTTTGTTAACTGGGTGGTGTTTTGTTATCTTCTCTAAAAAGTTAGGCCTAGAGGCTGGTGCTGTTGAGTAGTTGGTAAAGCCTGTGGTGCCAGAATCTTGTATGGGACCAATCTGAGTCCCATCTGCTCTGCTTCTGATCCAGCTCCCTGCTAATGCACCTGGGAAAGCAGTAGAAGATGGCTCAAGG